TCTTCTGAAGACAGGATCCTAGCCAAATCAAGCCGGAACTTTGACTTAATATCTATAAACTTAAACAACTTATAACGTTTAGTATGATATGTCTCACTTAGTTTCTGAATAAAAGCCTAGTGGAGATACTCATTAACCTTATCCGAGTGGTATGGTATATTAAGGCCACAGAACTCGGCAATGGCTACCCAATCGAAGTGATACAAAATAACATACGGGCCGTGAAAAGTCAATGGCAGAACGAGGCTATGACATAACAGTAAGGACGATGAAGGATTGACAAAAGTGAATATGCCTACCTTCCTGCGAATTGACTCAAAATCTACTGCCAATATTGAGTAAATTGAATGTTCAGGGGGCCATGAAAGAGAAATCAGCACATTTCACAAGTCTACCAACGCAAAATGAAAGGGTAGACAAATTGGATTGTTCAGGAGTTTACTGTATATCATGCGGTTCCAGCTATTATAAATATTTTTTTGAAACATGGAGAAAAATTAACATAAGAATCAAGGAACATCAAAGGCTCTGCATGAAAATGGATGCCGAAAGATCAGAACTAGCGGAACACATCGCACAGACTAAACACGAGATCAATTGGAAGGCAACAGAAAGAAGAGCCCAAAACGGTGACAACAAAAAGAAGCGGAAGATAAGGAAGGCCATTGACATTCTTGGGGAGAAAAATCTAATGAACAGGAGATTAGAAGGTAGAGTTAGCGATAACTTTGTCTACTGCCTGAGCAAACTCGGGGAAAACAAGAATATAGTAAGATCAGCAAAAAGGATACGTCTGGATCAAGGAAAAGTGATCTCCATGAAGAAAGTGAGGGGAAGGGATTTTCGGCAATAAAGCGAAGACGTTGTCAGTGAGTGATGTCCATTTCGAATAAAACAGTACAATTGTTGTGGCCTGACAGTCAGGGAGCTGGGAGATGGTTAAGCAAACCGTCACGTAAATTCGGTGTTATGTCCAAAGTGCACTAGAAATCCACTTGAGATGCCGCATGCAACCAGAGATAGGCTTCCACAGTTTGCTCAGATAACATGGGTTTAATCATGGAGAGGACCCGTAAAGGGAAGGCCTGATATCTGCAAGCATGGCAATCAGAACCTATGCGCTCTGCTCAGTAAAGCGGCTGTGTACGCGCTTCTAGGGCCTTGAGAAATAGCGCCCGGAGTGAAATAAACACAGGGACTGGAACCGATTGAAATCCGTCAACCAAAAGGATAAGGAACGGATCTACGAGACAATGAGGGGATTCGAATTGGAGGCCCGAGTCTGAGAGGCCGATCGGAAGAGAGTGGTCGGGGTGAATAGCAGGTGTGATGAGGCCACACTAGATTAGTCACAAAAGGGCACATATTTTGACGAGTGGAATGTCAATAAGCGAGAAGTTGTGATAGAGCGGCAGTGAGATAAGAGGGTAAATAGTAGATAGATAGGCCAAGACAGAAAGAGGAATGATAGTGTAACCGTTTTCGGCAGAACGTTTGTCGAGGGATTGACTTCACTTGTCTTTTTTGACGAGTTCGTAGCTTAGTGCGGAGAATGGCAGCACTCACTGATGATGCCGACTAAGATGCCGGCGAAACGTTTGAGAATGTACAAAGTCCACTGTCTGATGCTGGTAATCATGATAACTACTATGACAGACGACTTCGGACTAGGTGTGTTCTACTAAGTCGCCCTGACAACAATACCAAGTTGCTACAACAAGGTCAACCCATTTATATAAAAATAGAAACTTTAGAATTAAGCCAATCTATGGTGGGGCTTTAATAGTTGAGAATGTATTAAGGCATTTGCAAATTCTATTTTATGATCTTAGAACAAAACCAAGTAGCCAAGTTTAAAAAACGATACCTTTCTAAATTCTCATTTTAGATAACGCACCTGATCCGTGGCTTTAGCAGCAACAGCAAAGTGGCAAGAGATATTTCCGTCTAGTCGAGTCGAAAAGGTGCAGCCCATTACATTGGTCTCAGGTAGCGAGAATGAAGCTGTTTTTTCGTCAAAATCTGCCAGTCTACCACTGAGGCTGAGACCTGAGGATGAAATCGCTGACGAGGAAATTTTAGATTTTTGAACAGTTTTTCCAGCAGGACTATTCATATTAAAAAGACGTGAATCGGCATTGATATGCGGTTTGGTCGATGACACAAGTTCAGGATAAGCTTCCTCAGAAAAGTCTCTAGCGTCAGTAACCGAAGATAGCCTATCCAAAGAGATATTAGAAGCAAAGAGAGGATGTGGCGAAGGGGTAGGCCCAGTCAATGGAGGTTGCGGGGAATCAACAGAAGCCTCAGCACCATCAATTTTACTGGCGTCAGCATCTTTATTGACACAAGTCTCATGGTTGACGGTTGCTGTACGTCCGCCTAAAGCAGATAATGCTCGAGACCAAGGAAATTTTCTAGTCCTAGTTTGTTCAATGTTGGGCTCAGACAAACATCCTCCAGCATCGGCACTGGAACGTGAATCGGAAAATCGATCCAAGGGGTCATCCGAGCTACCTGAAGATGGTCGTAAAGGGGCGCAGGGTCTGGAGGGCGGCCTCGGCCCGCGCCAGCACAAAGTTATAGTAACTTCAATAGGTTCGTCAGGATTAAAATTAAGCGCTGTCCAGACCAGAGTGCAGCAAGGCAAACAGGACTCCTGGTAGTCATGTGGTATAATTGGTGAAATCTGAGAAAAGACATCAAACAAGTCGATGAATGTGCTAAAGCGTATATACTGGCACCTTAATAAAACTTAAAGAAGATAGAAATAAAAAGTTCAAAGAATCCATACTAAATATTTGTGTTATAATACAAAACTATTGACATCAAAACGAACACGTTTAAAGGCATACTGGTGATGAGAAAGGACGAAAGAGATGAGGATGGAGCCATAAAGTTTCTGGATAAATCCATCCATTTAACATTGCTAAGTTGACTAGTATGTAAAATGTAACCCTAAAAAGTAAATACATCAAAGTATAAAGAATATTTCTAATGCTTAACTCGGATTACACATTATGAAGAAAAATTATGTAACAAATAAAATAGAAGATGAATAAAATAAACAATTAGAGGGAAAATAAGTTAGGCCTCAGCGAGTAAAAAAATCAGAGTATTTAGGGAAGAAAAAACATGAGTTTTTCAACCCTATGAAATTCGATTAAGTGATGGCAACTCCTGAGTTATGCATAGATTTGCGAAAAATCGAGAAAAAAGGAAAAGGCGGCCATTAATTGTTACAACGTTAATAGGTAATATTAAGAATTAAAATAGGAGAAATGATCTTTAAGGGAGATGGAAGAATAAATTGGTATTGAGGATTTTAATTTACACCACGTAAGCAACTTATTGGAGAAAATTTTTTAGCAAAAAGGTAAGAATTGGCGGAAAAAATAAAGAGCACCATCAAGTCCGAAACTTTGCTGCACAAGTGGAATTCATCGTTAGAGGCAAAATTGTTAGGCCAATTTAAGTCAGCAGGTCTAGAATTTCTTTTAAACGTGACTATGTAAATTATTCCTGGAATGGGAAAAAAAGAAATGATAGACAATAAACAAAAAACAGATCAAATAAATTTAGTTTAAGCTCCAAATATTTAGATCGTAGATATGAAGATCAAGAGTGTGTATCCTTATGCTTGGTCACAGTTCGTAAAGAATTATTTTGACCTGATTTTCGTAATCGTTAGGGACGGTAGAGTAGTCTCGAAACTCTACTTACATACGAAAAATGACAGAGGAACTTTATACATACATTGTACATGTTCTATCATAAGTTCAGGGGCATTATGTAAATAAATCGAATATGAGAGATATAGTGGTCGTGTATAAGGAAGTATAATCAGCCGGAAAAATATAAGTTGAGCGAAGTGAATGGTTTAGTGAAAGTATCAATTGGGATCAGAAAGCAGTGCAGACCGGATGAGAAACCAAGGCTGAAGGTCAATGTGAATCGATACATCCACTTAAGGTGACACACTTTGAAGATGTTCGAACAAAGAAACAAAGGTGTGAATGGGTAAATTGACTATATCAAAAGTGATTTAGAAATGACGATACATCGCTAGGAGATAGAAAATGAGAGACCACAAAGGTTGAATAGAATATCAGCCAAGGGGGATGCTGTTACCTGTCACTTTGGAGAGCTGCTGCTCAGTGCTAGGGATGGCAGTTCTTATCGAGATTGCCGACGATGATGTCGGCGAAATGTCTTGGAATGTACCAAGTCGGCGGTTCGAAGTCGAAAATCATCATGTCAGATTAGGTACGTTATACAAAGTTTTTCATTGTCACCCCAAATAATTTGGGAAAAAGCAGTCAGACGAACTCGAAATATTGAACCGGCGCATAAGTATTTCACACCCAAATATAGCATTGACGAAATAAGATGCATATTTAATGAGGGCATCATCATTGTCACTCATTTTCTTACCAACAAAACAGACACAAAACTAAATGGGAAAAGGACATCAAATTTGGGCAAAGTCAAAATTAAAATTATTATATATTTGTCCAGTGTTCTTGGAAATAAGCTTTTGCATCATACGCGAAATACGGGCACGAATTATGATATGCTTGTGGTTGCAATATTCAAATCCAAATAGATCTAGGAAAAACTACCTCGGTTTTTAGATAAGAAACCGGAAATGTATTTATCTAACGTTTTATGGGGAAAACCCTATAATGACATTTTTACTGATGGAGGATCGCCGTCTAGGGTTTAGGGTTTTGAGCTGGACTGCTAATAAAAGAGTGATACTGATAAATTGCAGTGCTTGCTCAAAAATGAATAAACTATACACGATAAGAATTAACATAGCACATTATATTAAAATTTTGTTTGGCCTTGCCTTAGCCGCTTAAGTAAAGTGATTAAGTGAAGCTCATGGCATTCGGGCTAATAAAAGTTATAGGCATATCTTTAAGTTCCTCAGAGGATATTGTAATAAAGTATAAGGCCACACCATTGAAAGTACTAAACACATTAAGTGCTGGTTTACAAAAGTAAAACCCAGCAGTCACTTGGATTAGGTTAGCCAAATACGCCTTCATCAATGGACAAGGAAAGTAAAAATAAAAAAAATAATGGGAAACTAGCATTTATCAATAGTCTCACTAATAAAATGATCAGCACAAATACCTAACAATAATATTGTGAATATGAGTATAAGATTGTCCTTATTTGACAAGAAAAACTACCTAATAGAGCAAATCCCTTGTGTGCATTCTTCTAATATGATCAAGCTGATCATAAGAATAGATATGCCCTTCGATGGTTCTTGCTTTTTAGCTTAATTTGAGCGAAAAATAACAAATCCAGAGAAAAATTAATCAAGGCCTATTTATCCGCTTTCACTATTAGAGAATGTAGATAAACATTGAAGTAAGAAAAAATACTCTCTTAATTATCAAAGCGCCCGAGTCACTTTAGCAAAGATTGAGTCAAAGATGTAAAAACGATGTAAGATTGCTGATTCATACAAGAGATACAATTTAAATGACTGAAGTTATGCATGAAGCTCAATCATCAGGGTCCAAAAAATGAGCTAATGACACGATGTGAGTGGTTGTAGAAAAAAAAGTAAGATTATGGCATGGGTACAGGAACTATGAATTGTAATACAACGTATCATTACACAAGAAAGATGTATTACGAAGCCAAGATAGAGGAGTCCATGAAAGTGGAGTTCCAATTTTAGCCAGAGTTTGCAAGTATAGAAGGCAATTTGCCGATATATCAACTAAAACTTAAGATAAGACGTGGTAGAAAAGTGCATAGAAAAACAAAGTCAAGCCGCACGCGGTAATTCATTAGTACCACTAAACAAGCGTAGCGTAAGCGAAAAATATCGTCAGTCACATCTGCCCTTATTATCCGATTGATTAGAGAATGGCTTGCAGACCACTAAATACTGATAATAATTAACCTGAAGGAAATAGTCAATCTGAATTGGCTATACAAAAATAACGCTTTCTCAGTGATGGAAGCTAATAGAGAAGTAGTTCATATTGTGAGTATACACTTCCAGTTTAGTTGAGATGCATTTTTTAAAGTGACCCTTGATCATAGGGAAAATTATAATAACCATATGTAATGTTGGATTTTCACATGTCTTCGTATTGAAACAATTCAGATATAACTAATAGTGCTATATTAATAAAATGTTGCACAAATGAAACTTCCCTAGGCCATGATATATTAACGAGTAAATTGTTGTCGATGAAGATGAATCGAAGGTATTAGTAGATTGGCAGCACCGGATACCGCAGGAGGGCTGCCTTGGACTTTGTTTGTTGAATTGTGCGAAGAATACCTCGGCTCACCGTCTTACGACCCGGATGACTTTTGTTCGGCCTGTGATGGACATCTTTAGAGCCAGAAATCATTATTCATGAAAAATCAACAAAAAACACTAGACCGAGAAAGGTGGTCAGATGCGATCCTACTTACTTACTTACACTGCGATTTTAATGAGGCATTTCATAATTTGGTTGGCAGACGCATGCTTATCCTACATGCATGTAAGCGGGCCATAGTGATGTAGGCAGGGGAGCGGATGTGGTCACAACTTTCGTCTATGTAAATAAATTAGTGTGATCCAGCAGTCATTGGTCTTGTTACAGCTTCTCGGATGCGTGTTTGTGTGTCTACACAACAACCCCGAAATAATTGACAATTTTAGGTTCAAAAACAAGCTCCACAAAACAAAAAATATCCTGAATAAGTGGAATGAATGAATTGAATGAGAGTGAGTGATAATGAAAGGGAACAGGAAGAGCCACTGAGTAAGAGAAGAAGAGTAGAATAGATTGAAACTTGTTTTTGAACCTGAAATTGTCAATTATTTCGGGGTTGTTGTGTAGACACACAAACACGCATCCAAGAAGCTGTAACAAGACCAATGACTACTGGATCATACTCTAATTTATTTACATAGACGAAAGTTGTGACCACATCCGCTCCTCTGCCTGCATCACTTTGGCCCGCTTACATGCATGTAGGAAAAGCATGCGTCCGTCAACCAAATCATGGAATGCCTCATTAAAATCGCAGTGTGAGTAAGAAAGTAGGATCTCATCCGGCCACCTTGCTCGGTCTAGTGTTTTTTGGTGATTTTTCGTGAATAA